TGACACCTCATTACCCACAAGCCATTGGAATTAAAAAGACGAGAGACAAAGTGCAAACGCTTGCGCGGTTGGTTAAATTTTTGATAAAAAATTCGACAAATTGAAGTGCGCGCAAAAGTAAGCCAAATCGTAGGTCGCAAATGGGTCTTTCTTCTAAAGGTACAAATCTCAATCAATGAACAGCCGTTGTTGCAAAATTCGAGCTAGTTCCTTTCATAGAACAATTGATCTGATCTAAGTTGCTAGTGCTATTCCCTAACCGAGCAAACGCCCATGGGATTTCAAAAAGCCGCATCTTCCAAGAGGAATAAGCAAATAGAAGTTCTTTAACGGTCCGAACGGTCTATAAATATTTTTCCTTTCTTTACCGCTATTTTTTTTTTTAGAAAGTTTTAATAGGAATTTTCTATGTTAGAAATGCGATAATAGGAGATAATAAACTGTTTATAATCTCTTGGCGATGGGATACTTTTAAGACACCTTTTTTGTTGTTAGATGGTTGCTATTAACTGAGCCTCGAGTGCATGTACCCGACCCAGTTTTCCCGGCTTGTGTCCAAGCACTGAACGAAAGTGAGGCAACAGGGCTGAATATTCTTTAGCTGATGAACATTTCTCCAACCATCTGAGGAGTATACAGCTGTGGCATCGTGCCAAATACATGTTTTCTTAACTTGTTATTAAGCAAGGCCTCGGATTCTACATTTCTGATCACTGAACTTGTTAAAACATACATCGAGTTGGAAGCAGGAAGGGTTTCATTTAAACATGAATTATTCAGGCAATCATTTCGAACGAAACCTTGTCCAAACGAAGGATGCGCCGGCAACGAGGCCAAGGTCTACAGTATTCTTAAAGACTTCGCAAAGAAGAAAAAACATGCAGGGCTCGCGTCTCAATAAGCTGAGCTTGGTACGTGATCGTTGGCATATTTGTGTTAGTTTTGTCCGTTGGGGCAATTAGAGACTTCTGTGGGAGGGTTTATGAGACTGAAGTTGGTACGTAATAAAGCCGGCTCGAACAAGTCTAATTTTATCATGTCTACATAAACAAATTGCACCTAAAGACTTTTCTTCGTAGATTATGCCTTACTTAGTCAAGTCATGACTATAAAACTGATGTTCCTGACGAGTTTGAATGCCGTCTAAAATTTATGGAAAATAGCCGTTGCCAGTCGTTTAATGATCATCTTGAAGGTAATAATGCGAAGCGCATTTGTGAGCTGAATAACACAANGTGGGTAGGTGAAATCGCTACGAACTAAACACGGCTGCCAGAGGCGCCTGTCTGATTTCAACCTTTAAATTGTAACTAAACACGTATGTTGTTTAGAGAAATAGAGACCTTTACCTTCACCTTTTACTTTACCTTTAACTTTTACATATAGCTACAAGCAATCAGTCTGAAGGAAAACGTGGCAGCTTAAAATTGTCAATGAGCCACCGTCAGTGTCAGTCTACCGTTATTTCATGACTAGAATGTTACATATATGTTCAAAAAGAAAGCAATCGATATTGATAGTGCAGCACACACTTAATTTGTGTAACTCAACACATCGTGAACAATTTTACTTTCCAATATTCCTTGTCCACCCGTCCACCCGTCCGCCCCATGGCGCACCGTTACCGGTCGTTGACGAACTCTAGATGACAAATCGTAGTTCAATTAAATTTCATTTCATTTACAGATTAAAATTAAGAAAAGAATTAATCTTCCCATATGGACTGCAAGCCTACGGAAATTACAGAAAAGAAACAGAGAAAAAATCAGGCTTGGACAAGATTCAAACTCGTGCCTAGATAGTGAGTCATATACGGGGTTTCACACATTCTACTTTAGATGACTAATGAGGCAGAATAAAGCCTCTGAAACATGCCGAATCTTTTATCATAATGTGGATCAGACTGTTGTGATTTACTACAAATCTATGGATTGAACATGGGAAACCTCTAAGCTTGAAGTTGGGAATAGAGGAAATCAAAGACAGGACATTTAAGACTTAATCCAATCTAAAAAAGACGTCTCTTCCCCATTTCTCAGGTGTAAATCTGTCCGAAGGTGCTCTGACGAGATTTTGTTGCTGTCGTCGAGTTTCATTATCTATATAATGCCTGTATTTTATTCATTCTTATTTATCACACCATTTTTTTACTTATATATCTGCGCGGCTCATCAAAACGTTAATCAGTAGTCGAGACTACCCAAAACCAACAACAACAGACAAAAAGCTCCTCTCAGAAGTAAAGTTATGGTGATCATTGAGCAAATGTGCGGCCAAACTCCAAAAGATTAATAACAAAGAAGACGACGGCGAAAGAGGATGATGATAATCTTGATACTGACAATAATGATCAATTGTTTTTAACAACTAATTCGTAAAAATATTTTCGTTTTCAAAAGGCATAATTTGCGGAGATAAGGATGATTATTCGTTTATGAATCTCTGAGTGGGCTTGTAAGAAATAGCTAAGTTTTATCGGCATGGAAAAAATATTAGAACCGAATATTCTACAGAGATTCCAAGTTTCTAGAAGCAAATTAAATTTGCCAACTCCCTATTTAGATTCCGTCAAGTTACAACCCTAGTGACATAACATTGAATGCCCTCTCTTGTAGCCGCCTCTAAGAGCTGTCTCGGAATTTACAAGTCTGGCTACAAGATAACTGGAGTTTATAACATCGATCCTGATGGTTTGGGTGAATTTGAAGTCTTCTGTGATCAGACGACGGTTGGGGGAAGGTGGACAGTATTTCAAAAGAGATTTCAAGGCGTTCTAAATTTCTTCCTTCCTTGGAATGAACACAAACAGGGCTTTGGCAATCTGGACAGCGAGTTTTGGCTCTAACTGGACAAGATTCATCGCCTGACTGCAAGCAGCAGCAACAAGCTTCGTGTTGACTTGGAAGACGTCCATGGTGGAACAGCATTCGCAGAGTACCAGTCATTTTCTGTAGCCAATAAGGAGAAAGAAATATCTATTAGATTTGGGAATTTATTCAGGTGCAATTGAACTTTCTGACAACGACTATTCGAGGGCACGTTGCTAATTTGCACCCGCGCAGTGTCTCTTGCGAGCTGAGCACGCGTACTATGTACTTATTGACTGAATGGGAGGGCTGTGCGGTAAATTATTTGGCTTGAGGTCATGACCTACACACTGACTGAGGGCGGCGAAGTCCCTGCCTCATGAGCAAAAGCCTGATATTTTCCTGTCCGGCCCTCCGACTCAGTCAATAAGCAATTTATCATATGACCAGTAACTGTTGAAAATCTCAAGCTAAATAGGGGGCGATTGAGGGGTACACCCAGCCACTCGAGTTGCAGTTCCAGACGGCTTTTCCAGGACTGGCTGTAATAGCTAGCAGTCGTAAATAAAGTGAAACAACATGTCCGACCAGACAGAGCTGAACAACGTATACGCATGCGCCAGGTTTTGCCGCGGAAACACGGATTTTGAGTAATTCGCATGGTTGATTTCCTGTTCTGTTGCTCCGAGGCGTCGTTTTCCTTACTGCTTTTCTTTTACAGAACAACCTCCAATTATTTGGTACAACCCCTAAAAATTGTCAAAAATTAATTTTCTCCTTTCGACCTTTGGAAATAGGAAAGTGTTTTCGACGAAAATAGAGTTCCTCGGTTTTAAAGGTCAGCCCTTATTATTTTCCGCTAATTTCGCTAAATTTTAGACCTAGGACACTTGAGCCCACGTTTTTGACCGCATACCCGCTGACGTAACATTTCATTATTCAGCTCTGTCGTCCGACCAGTGAATACTCGACTTCAGTGAACTGGTCAGCGGTTGTACTAGGATTGTTCTTCCAGTCAGCGGTATCTTTGCACGAGGTTTTTCACTTTTTTTTTTAACAGGCACTGCAGGTGATTTTCTCGCTTATCATTGTGGTTCACAATTTAGCACCAAAGATTGGGATAATGACAGGTCCCAAAACAACTGTGCCTCGTCCATGAAAGGCGGCTGGTAGTACAACAGTTGCCAATACTCAAACCTAAACGGTTTGAACTGAAAAGGTCAAGATGGAGTCACCGTAATGCGCTGGGATCGCTGGAGAGGTAGTGAGTCTGTCGAAAGATCAGAGATGAAAACTCGTCCAAAGGACTCCTAAGGTCTGGTATCGAGAGCTGCGGGTCAAATGAAAGAAAATATGTTTTCGGAAGGAAAAATAAGGATGCTGTTGTTTCAGTTTTCTTGGAACTATTTTTCAATAGTTACTTCTTGTTGATTAAAATTTCACTCTAAGAAGATTTCAAGGTCTGCGGAATTCAACTTTTCGTGTCTTGATCGGAAGAACCAAGAACAAGGGATTGAATATTAGCTTAAAGAGTTGTACATAATTTTTTTTTCTTTTTTTCTTCAAACATTTGTCACCAGGATTGAACCGAGCGCAATACTTCTAGTTAACACTGCTTTCGTTGTTCTTTATGAGATTTGCAGTGCGAGAACAAAGGATGAAAGAAACCCGGATTAAAAATTTCACCTTGGGTTAGCGCTAATCGGTCTTCGGACAACTGGGCCCAGAGCCAATCCTGATCATGAGAACAGAAGAAATCTCCGCCGACGTGGTTTTTTTGTTTTGTTTTGTTTTTTTTGTTTTAAGATTGCTCTTCACCCAGTATCACCCAGTATGTGGCAGCCAGGCACAAGTCGGCATATATAAGGTCGAAGACCTTAGATATCTTTCAAGCCATTTATGTAAGTAGATGCGAGAGCCCACTATAATGGGCTCCTGGTAGATGGTACAATTTTTTTCACTCTTATTGGACCCAAGCTCTCTCTGCTCAGGAAATGTTAGCAGCGAGTTTAAAACCTGCTCCTTGCAATTCAAACCTTGTACAATACGATCAATCACGCCTTTGGCTGTTACCTTTAGAGCGGAAAACCCACCGAAACGGTTGTGAGAAATGAAACGACACTAGTGTCCAGTTCACTGTCATCGCCACTATCGGTCATTTTTCTCAGGCTCCTCTCGGTCTTAGTTTCTAAACATGGGTTATGTTGGACTTGTGATCTTATTTGTGGAAGTTTTAACGATCATTTCAGCTGGGTTGCAAGGAACTAATGATCAAATTGGGAAACGTAATCGAGAAGGAGACTCCTACTTTTCTACAGGTGACGACTCTGACCCACATACCTGCAGAAAACTTGGAGAATGCGAGGTACATGTAAGAGGAAACTTACTCCATTCGACAACAGCGGAACTTCTCTTGTTCCAGTTCGTCCAGTTTGAAATAGTTTTAGGGGAGGAAATTTTTCAAACCGCTTAAGGTAGTAAATTTGACACGATCATAAATGAAAATCAGGATCGTGGTTTAAAAATAATCTGTAGTATCCAAACATTATTCAAGTTTACTTGCTTTTGTAACTTGATCAAACAATCATGTAACAGTATAATTATGTATCCTACAAGTTTCCGCGAAAAAAGCCGATCTGAGAAAATAAGGTTATACCAAAAATATTCTGTTACAATTGTACATTATATTTTATTGAAATCATCTTGTAAATTGAACCAGTTTTATAATTCAGCACCTTCAATTCGTGATATATGAGTTTTCTAACATTATTCTGTCCAATTCGTAAACTCTAATGTTTGTACAACTGTCCTCCTCCATTAATAATTAAATTGTGCGTGTGTTCAACGAGTGACAAATCATACTTAAAATAGTTTCCAATTATCAATATAGATCTGTATCATGAAACTCAGGTTGTCTTTTTGAAGAAAAAATTTACAGTTACAAACTATATCTGAATTATCAATTAATCAGAGACATACTAAATTTATTTTTTTTTTCATTTATATTATTGAGAGGTTTCCTGACATTTTTAGACAGCAAGCTCAGACATAAGGCTGTGGGGGGTACTGATTGGCACCCACTTCAATGCTACAGTTTAGATTGGAAGATGGGAAATCTTGGTTCAGAGGCTTTGAAATGTGTTGTTGCTTCGGATACTTTATTCTCAGTCAGTTGTTCTCACTATTCAGAAGTCAGGTGGATGGGAACAAGCTGATTAGCAGGAAACCTAAGAAAATTCTAAGAGTCACTGAACTGCAGAGAACCAGCAATTCATTCCCAGTCACTTCCTGCCTAAAAGAAAAAAATAAGCTGTGGGATGGTAAAGGGTCCATTGATTCATATATGCAACCTTTTCCATTCTGTCCTATTTATTTACATGATTCTCTGTGTTTTTATATCCAGGGCACTTCAGGGAGGTCTCAACAGTGCTGGGGATATGAACCAGGGTGTAACTCACCAGATAAATGGTACATTAAACCACAGTGCTATGACAACCTGTCTGGCAGACATTTTAGAACGTAAGTTGACTAAAGATTCCCACGGCCACTCAAGACAAAAAATATCAGAAACAAATAAAGGTGGCTCTTTGTTTGATCATTATTTGGCATAATAGGTAAACTCAGCAACACCTTTAATGCCTTGAAACAGCCTAAATATGGCTGACCAACTGAAAAGCAATCAGTATATCAAGATCATATATACAGCAATTATTTTTAATTTAGCAGTCGAAAGTTAAAGAAGAAAGTAGAATATCAGTACATTTTAATGGTTAATCTGAATATAATTATTATTTTCCTTTTTACAAAATAATTATGATACTATTTTATAGGATTGAGGACAAAATTTACCATTTCTGGAAAGAGAGTGATTTTGGTTTTGTGAAATCTGTTCAGGACAGTTTACAGTTGGTTTGTAAGCCAAAGGAATACCAGGTTAGAAATTGCTTGAATATGGACCAGATGGGGGAATTAGAGTTAAGTGTTGTATACATTGTGTAACATGTAGACATAATTTTTAGCTAAAACATGCTTGATTCCCAATTGGCAAATTCATTTGTAAGAAGTTTCTTGGGGTTAGGCAAGGCATAGTATAATTATTGCATCATCTGGCTGTCTGTGTGCCCTTCATCCAATCAAGTCATGAGTCAGTAATAATAACAATAACAGTATAACCAGTCAGTGCAAGTATACATATTTACCAACTCACTGCCAATGTATGAATTAAGATTATTTTCTTAATCAACAGTATTAAATAATAATACTCCATGACATTATAATTACTAGAGGCTATAACTTGGGATGAATATTCAACTTAAATATTGTATTTCTACTTTCCAGGCAGATGGCTCATCTCTTGTATGCTCCAAACAGCTGACATACTGCAAAGCAAAGCATCTATTCATGGATTTCAGAAGTATGCCAAATGGACAAAGGTACTGACTTTTGGAAGATCTCTATGAATAGTATTCCATTTTGTCAATTATTAATCATAGTACAGCTCCAGAAAGTTATTTGAATATTTATTTATTTATTTAATCGCTTCACCAACCGGCAGGGACACCGCAACAGCTTGCGCCAATTACTGCGGGCCCAGTAAACCCACCCATCCCACCCCAGGGGAGGACATCCATCACACAGTAATCTCGTGTGTGGGAAATTAATATCTCCTACCCCCAACCCTGCAGGAGATGGGACCTCCATTTATTCGTTCCTATCCGAGAAGATTAGAATATCTAACCATTTCTTGATGTTATAGAAAGGCAGCAATTAATTCTTCTCAATTATTTAATATGTGGTTGTAGTGAATTCATCTGAGACCCTTTTAGCTTAGTTCTATGGAGTACATCCCTGATATGAACTGCATGTAGATGTATTTTTATAGCCTTAAAATAGTTTTCAATGAAGAAAGAAAGTTTCTGTGACGAAAAACTGTAGTGTGTACACTGTAGGTTAAGATTTCATCAAGTGCTTTTTTGCAAAAAGTCTCATTTTCAAACCTGTTACTTTAAAAACCTGTAGACTGATGATTCAATCAATTTTATTTGATGTAACTGTTTGGATTTCTAATTGAGATCATGTTTGTTTGTTCTTTAATTTTTCTTGGAGTCAAGGATTCCTATGTCAAAGAGGAAGTTTGAAACTTGTGACCGAACAATTTTCCTTTTGATGATCTTCTTGGTATTTGATTTTGTTTTGATAAAAGTAACATTTAATTCTAGACACTCCATGAACCTTATGACGCCAGGGTTTGGTAAATGAATTATCAGTAGTTCTACATTTGTGCCATGATCACTTTTACTTTTTTTATGCTGTCTTATAAATTAATTTTTGTTGTTGTTGATAACCATAATAATGCCTAGCACATCAAAGTCAGACAAATTGAAGCCTCAGAAAATTGGTGGGTTTTGTGAAGTGGATGCTAGTGCCCTCAGTGAAGAAGGAAAGTACAGAATGGAGCTCAGTTCTTGGTAAAGTTATATTCTTGATAATAAAATAATCTGCACATGAATTAAGTCAACATATATATTTCAGTCAGTAGAAAAAATAGAAAAAATTAGTTACTAATACTCATGGTCTCTTAAATTCTCTGTCAATGAACAGGAAAAGATGTCAGAAAAAAAAAAGAATGAGAAACTTTAAATTAGTTTCGAAACCTCAATTAGTTTGGTTCTGTTGGAGTTACTCATACTCTTCATTAATTCTCCTTTTTATAATACCTTGTTTTACCTGGCAAGATTCACTCTCACTGATGAAGGGCTACTTCTCAAAATGTTGGCTTTAGAATCTATCAGTGGTGGCTAATAATTCACACTAACTTTTCAAATTACCAGCCAAGTGGCTTAGTGACAACTTAGATGTTACAATGATTTCAGTTTGTTTACTTAAGCCAAACTGGCCAGTGGAAGTAAAAACCACTAGCTAGCTAAAACTGAATTTCTACTAGTCTATGGCTATAGTTGGCTACCATTAGTGTCGAGCCCTGTCAGTTGGCAAAACCAAATTATCTTGTATTACCGCTGACCCATCAGGGCTCAACAATAACAGTAGCCAATTAGCCACAAACTAGACCAAGTAGAAATTCAGTTTTGGTCAGTGGTCTTTGATTTCCACCAGCCAGTTTGGCTAATAAACAAACTGAAATTGTTGTAACACCTATTCAGTTGTCACCTGCCACTTAGCTAGTAAGTTGGAAAGTTCATGTTGAGCCCTGCCAGTACAGCACAAGTCACATGACAAATGCTCCTGCATATTAGCAAATACCATCATTATAGACTTTGACTATTCATGGTGTATCCCACTTCTGTGGCAGAACAATTATGACCATGTGTGTAAAAAGGTTGATCAACTATTGCATAAAAGTTGTTAGTGGTTTCTGTTGGCTATAATGTGGTTGTCAGTTTACTGTACTGCTTGTTTCAGCATCACTGACTGTTTCTTTTCCCCCCTTTATCCTTGTTCTATTTCCTTTTTTCAGGTTAAATGAAGTAGAGGATTTTTCGTCCTTGCCCTTCAAACCAAATCAGGAGGAATACTGTGATGTCTTGGTGGAGAAACCTACTTTCTTCATGAAATTAGATGCAGGTTTGTTTTTTCAATTCACATCTGTAAAACCAAGTTGACACTTGGGAAATCAGTGAAAGGTTCCGGCAAATCTGCTTTTTTACAAAAACATCAACTCTCCTAATTGAAAAGAGCAGAAAAATTAACTTTCTGCATTTATTTTTCATAGAACAACATGCAAAATTGTCACCTGTTTTGTTAATGCTAGTCGATTAGGTGAAAAGTTAAAAAAGGTCCCTTTTTAGAGAAAAAAATGCGGGTATTTTAAGCTTTCGAGTGGAAATATTTTAACATCAATATTGTCCGCTTTTCATCCCTTTCTCACTTTATTAAACAAAACTTTAAAGCGCGAAAAAGGTACCTTTTTTTCAATTTGAAGCGATCTCTTCAAAAGTGCGAAAAAGATACCTGTTTTGCTGTTTAGAAACATTCCTATCAAAAGAGCAAAAAAGGTACCTTTTTTGCGGCTGGAAGCGATGTTCTCAAAAGTGCAAAAAAGGTACCTTTAAAAATAAACAGCGTTTTCAAACTATATTTGAAAGCCGTTTTAAATTCTACTGATTGACAGATGTCAACCTTTTAGCGCCATTTGTTTTGCTTGAATTGACTGACCCACTAGTCAAGAGACAAATATGGCGGAATATATGGAAAGCAATGTCACTTTAATAAGGAATCTCCTTGAAGACAATAAAACGTACAAACATGTCAGTAAAATTCTCACACAAAACTTTCCAGAAGTAACAAGAGGCTTTTCAGAAAGAAACGTGCGATTGTTTTGTGCTAAATATGGGATAAAACGACTAAACGAATACGAAGTAGATTCCATCGTTCAGGATTGCGTGAACGAGGTAAGCTTGTTTATGTTTTTGCATTTTTTGTATCAGTTTCTTTGAATAGGGACGTTCCATTTTTATTCCATTCCCTTATGGATGAGTATCCTCGGCAGACAACTAGTAGGA